AGCTGATGAATCGGTGCTATGTCACTCAATTAGCATTCCTAAAGTTGTCTGAAGACGTTTGTTCATTTTCTTACTAGTTGTAATTTTGAAACATGTTCCCATGCAACTTAATACATTAAAATCAGTGGTTAAAATAATGAAAAATAAGTCATTAATTAAGGAACAAAATCAACAGAAAAAAGCTACTAATTCATTATGGGGAACTATAAACAAATAATTTATTATTGACTGCAAAAATGCATATTTAGTTTCGCTGATAATTGGTACTACTGGTATTATGATAATTGGTGTGGTTTTGCATAGGTGCGAGATATACTAATATAGATGTTACTGAGGTGAACGCGGTTCGAATCCCAGAGATAGCTGATCGATACGAATTTCGTATCCAGCTTGAAACGACCACAGTGCTCATGTAAAATATCATCAGTGGTAGACGAATCGTGGGTTAGAGTCTCCGTGCTATTAGGCTATCAGGTTTTCCTCTCCATGTAACGCAAATGCGGGTTAGCTCCATCAAAAAGTCCTCAACGTAGGCAAATTTCTCCCAATATTTTATTCAGGAATTCCCTTGTCTTCTGGATTGAATTCAAAATTATAAGGCTACGGAGTTGAACATACCAAACCTGAAGTCGTGAACCCAAAAAATTAGGTTGGCTGTTCAACGACGGTTATAAACTAAACTAAAATAAAATATAGATGCTACCATATTATGGTAATAGGTTTTGCACGGTCTATCTAAAGGGGTAAGTACCGAAGCAAATTGCTTGATAGTGGCTATAATGAGATGGCCTCGAAGCACTGCATCATGCCAAATGATACTTATTACTGTTAATACTTATTTTCATGAGATGAACCTTGAAAAATGTGTTATGATTAATCTAATAACGTAAAGCCATTGGCAAAATCAAAAAAAGAAGAATGAAAACGATGGAAACTATTTATTTTTATTAATTGTGTCTGTATATGTCTTTCAGTTCTGTGCACGATTTCATAATGCTGGTTAGTGCTGAGGTAAGGATTGCTGAAATGCCTGAATCTTGACTCTAATTCCGATCTATAATCAAATAAAAATTTTCAAAGTCCAAAAAAGTATTAAGTGCTACGATTTGATCTTTTATCATACTTTTGTAACCTAACTTAATTAATATACTATTCATTTAACTGATAATTTACTTGCTATTCTAATGTTATAATACTAATAAGAAAACCTCTATCTTCAGTTTCTTTTTACTCTATCCATCTACTCTTTTAATAATCTGACCTCATATCGAAATTTGCTGTCAGTACCAAATTTTCAAAGCTTAAATTGCTATTAAAAGTAAATTGCAATTCTTTTAAACATGTATGAAAATGTAGGAAATGGATGAAATAAATGTATGAAACAAAATAATTTTGAAAAACAGCAACTTCTCCGTGGCTTTACACAAAAAAGTAAGGAATTAAATATATAGCGCTACCTATAAAAATCGAGTTAATACAGTCTAAGTTTAATTTTCCAGACATTTTCTTCGTTTTATATGAATTTTATTTTAAAAATCATTTTTAAGAATTTCTTTATTAACTTTTTAACGACAACAGATGAAGTGTTGGTGTTTTACTAACAACAATAATAACATAAATTTTTATTGTCATTGAAATCAGAGATCAGTGGATTTGAGAATGACATGTTTATTAAAAATTCCGAACTGTCATTAGTCATTTGCTGGCTACATAAAATGGCTCTCAATTTTATCATATTTTGGAATTTTAACTAGCTCCAAATATCAGTAGAAGGTTGCACCAAAAGTAGGAGTTTTGAGGAAACAAAACAACGATTTTCATTCTTTCTTTTTTATTTTCCTATATAAAAACAGAGGAAAGTTGCACCATTATTAGATACTAGTGGGCTGCGCCCCCTGCTCGCTAACGCTCGCCAAACCCCGAAAATTACTACGCAATCTTATACGGTTTGCTTCGCAAACCAAGCTCGCTTCGCTCGTTACTAACTTAGGTACATTGCAAATGCACAAAATTCTAAGAATTCAAAACAATCATTCAAATCCATATAACAACTTTTTTTTTTAAAAAAAATTACATCTTTTTAGTAAATACTAAGTTATTAAAATAAATTTGAACTCAAATAAATGACATGTAATTCGTTAAACATATTAGAAATGTGCTATAGTATAAAATCTTAAGATAAAATTTTTAAAACTGATATCTCTTTTAAAAGGTTAAAATTTTGGCTATAATTAAGTCTATTAAAAATTGAAATAAGTGAATTGCAATGGAAAAACCTGCATAAACAAATAAATTCTAGTAAAACAAATAAATTCGTGATATAAATCAAAAATCGTCAAATAAATTCGTAATATATAAATTCGTGAAAAAAAGCGCTTTCGACAAAATACTAAAATAGAGATCTATCGACAAAGACTACTCACTTCTGCCTAGCTTATGCTCTCTCTGGTTATTTCAGTTTCCGTTTTTAAAAGCGCTATATGTTGAGCCATCTCAGCTAGATTTGGCATGTGACATTTTTAGCGGCAATCATTGGTCGATTTTCTAGCGTTGCCATTCGGGGAGTTGTAATGAGGCTTTTTTTTGTCGCCGTGTAAGAGAAATATATTTATAGATTTTTATTGTAATTGAAATCAGAGATCAGCGGATTTGAGAATGACACGTTTATTACACTGTTAAAAATTCCGAGCTGTCATTAGTCATTTGCTGGCTACATAAAATGGCTCTCAATTTTATCATATTTTGGAATTTTAAACTAGCTCCAAATATCAGTAGAAGGTTGCGCCAAAAGTAAGGGTATGAAGAAACAAAACAACGATTTTCATTCTTTTTTATTTTCTTTTATAAAAGCAGAGGAAAGTTGCTCCCTTATTAGATATTTTTGAAGCTTCCGGTAATTTTTGATTTTAATTCCGGTAATTTAAGATATTTTTGAAGATTTTCCGGTAAAAAGCAAGCCAAGATTGCTATTTACTGGAAGTAGGTAAATTTATGACATACTTCTAACCATTTTATACCACCAACCAAATTTAGAAAGGCAACGCAAAAGAAATGAACTTTAATTAATGCAAATAAAACATTTACCTGCCACAATCAGTTGATACCTGAAACGGCATGCATTAGTCTGCCTAATACACCGAGACCGAGTTGTAAAGAAAACATGGCGTTGTAAACGAATATTGTTCAGTTTACTGTCGCCGTCAAAGTTTTATATCTTTTAACAAATTTTGGTGCAGTCAGTTGCACCAAGTTCTTCGATCATAATTTACAATTTATGGTGTAACTGAAATAAAATTATCTTTCAAACTTTGGGATAATGAGAAATTTTGCACCAAATACTGGTTAAAGATTTACCGAGTTTCTTTCCAGTCTTGTACATTACTCAGATAGAGATTACCACAGTTAAAACGTCCACTAGGAAAGAACTAATAGAAAAGAATACCCGAGTTAAGGATTTATTTTTATTTATAGCTTTTTTTGGGCTCAAACTCAACATCCAATCAAAGTATTCTGGTTGCATGCACTGGTAGAAGAAATCTGCTTTAAGTAAATGCGATTACAGTTTTTCTTCACCACAAATAAACCACAGATTTTTTTTAATCTGATTTCTTTAAACATTATACAAGAAATTCTTGCAACCCATTTTAAGATAAAATTTAAATAAAACGAATAAAATATTTGAAAAATTAACCCAGATTTCATCAAATCGATTTTTTTTCAAGTTGCACTCAATATTTTATTTCTTACTTTTACGCCTAAAACCATAAAAATTTTGTTTCATAAATTTTTTAAAACTGTTTTATTCTACAGTTTTCTTTTCATTTTTAATCATTATGCCTTCATTAAGCTTGTGATATCAGTGTTTCTCCATGTTTCTTATTCTGTATTTATTTAACTATCATCTTTATTTAGTTAAAATAGTTTTCAGAGTTGGATTTCTGAATTTGCAAGTGCTTCTCTTAAGCAGATACCCATCTTTAGCGGACACATTTCTTTTTCTCAAAGGCACCCGCTTTATCAAAGTTTCCCTGAATTAAAATTCTGTATAGGATTAAAATATGTCATGCATAAACCAGTTATTTCAGTTTGATTATTAAGAAACTGATGGAATACATGGAATAAGGATTTTGATGTGTTTATAATTAACACGGATCATTGAAGATACCTCTCAGTAACACAAAACATTTAATAGAACAAAAACGAATACAAATGTTTAAAAGTAAACATCATGAACATGACATTTCCATGCGAGTACGACCTAGGCTAATAATCTTATTCTTAGCGTCTTGAATGAAGGCAAAATCAAAAGTAATTTTAGTACTGATTTAAATTCTGTTAAGTAGACGGGAGAAAATAAAATACAAATAAGGGCTGTTCAAATAATAGACAATATTGTTTTTAGCAACTTTGGGTAACTCCCATGCTTTCAGCAGAAATAAGAAAATTACATTCTCTCTCACATGTTTACGTAAATAAGGGGCAGAAAATAGAGGCTGTACCATAATAGGTCAAAATAAATGAAACCAAATTCTGTTTTTTTTTATAAGGTCATCAGTAGAGAAGAGCAGTCTCAACAATTTCACAGAACTGAAAATTCAATATTTCAACCCTACGAAGTTGTTCAGGCACGAGGGCAAGAGCCCAGCTCAATATGAAGCAAGCTACAAGTACATGCTGTTTCTTACCAGGTCAAAATAAATAAAAACCAAATGCTGTTTTTATATTGAGCATTAATACAAAAATGTCTTAGAATAATAGGTTTAAAAATTTGAAAAAACTCAAAAATTCTCTACTGTACCCAAGCATGTTTGTTTACGTCATTAAGGTGAATCAATACGAAACGAAGTTTTTTTTAAATATTTATTAGAATGATTGTACAATGCACATACTGTAGGAAAAACTTTACTAAAGATTGATTTTGGTACGAAAGAGTGTTATACAATAAGGAAGGAAAATGGGGGCCGTGGCTCTAATCCAAGCTCCAGTTTTTATTTTGGAAAACGGTAAGTGCATTTTGGACAAGAAAATGCTTTCAGAGAATGGAATTTATATGATCTGAGGCTTCATCATATATCTTTGGTTCAGTTGTCTGGCTGTCTGAAAAGCAAAATAAAATTGTCAAAAATAATTGATAAATAAAATTGTCGAACGAAAATGTAAAATAAATAAATAAATAAATAAACAAATCTCAATATGTGTCTAGTTCATTCAATAATAATTTTTTTATAATATTCTAGAAGCGAGGCATATTTAAATAATGCCGAATATAATGCGAAATGATACTAACATTGAAAAAAAATCTTTTTTTTAAAGTCACATTTTGAAACGCAAATTTTAAATATTAACATGTGTAATGAGCAAACTTGTGGGGGGGGGGTAATGCTTGCCCCCTAGATACTCTTTATTGCGTAAGTAAATGGCAGGTAGTTTGTAAAGATGAGTTATGGAAAAGCTTGTGATACGACATTATCCGTCGTGCCGGTTAATGAGGGATGCTTTCAGGAATTAGGCAGAAGTTCATGTTCGAAAAGTATGCTACAGCCTCCAGTTGCACATGGTAAGCCTTCGGGTGAGCCTAGTGCTAATACCGCTGCTTTTAAGATTACTGCTAGTAAATCTGGATAGGAGAGGATCAAAAGCACGGTTTTTTTCCTGTTGCAGTCTCTGGCTTTGGCCAGAGACACTCTGGAGGCAGTATGATTTGCGCCACTGGACATCCAAAGCCAGAGAAGGAAACTTTAGAAAAAGTGAAAAGCCGATGATAGGAGTAGTAGAGTTAAATGGCTTTGCTTTAAGTTAAGTTGCTTTTAAGTTAAAATTCCATAACAAAGTATCAGCTTCTAACTTTGTCTTCGTTTCTGCCTATCTCCCTTATGAGGAGAAGGATCCACTGGCTGATGCTGCTAAAGCATTAATTGATTACTGCAGTTTTGTCTGCAGACTCATTTTCGGCTGCGATGCAAATGCTCACCACACAGTGTGGGGTAATAGTGATTGTAACTAGAGGGGGGATGTATTAATGGAATATATTTTATTTTATAACTTATTTGTCCTTATTAAAGGCACTGAACCAACCTTTGTTGCGTATAACAAAAGGAAAATCCTTAGCCTTACTTTAGTTAATTCTATTTCTGTAGAATACATTACTGATTGGAAGGTACCTGATGCAGTTTCTGTTTTAGATCACCAACTAATTACTTTTTCTATTAAAGGCCTCAATGGATTGAAGGTTACTAAGAGGAATCACAGAACAGCTGATTGGAGATCCTTCAGAAAAGAGTAGGGGAGGCAGTTGGGAAACCTCTCTGGTAAGTATAATAATGTAGATTATGTGGACAACATGCATTTGTCATCAAGATACACCGAGACCGAGTTGTAAATAAAACATGGCGTCGTAAACAAATAATATCGTTCAGTTATCAAATATCGTTCATATATCAGTTCAGTCGCCGTCAAAGTTTTATGTCTTTTAACAAATTTTGGTGCAGTCAGTTGCACCATATAAGTATTTCTCCATCCTACTTTACAATTTATGGTGTAGCTAAAATAAAATGATCTTTCATTTAACTAAACTTTGGGAAAATGAGATACTTGGCACCAAATACTGGTTAAAGATTTACAGAGTTTCTTTACAGTGTAGTACATTACAGATTAACACATTAGAGATTAACACAGTTAAAACGTTCACTAGGAAAGGATTAATAAAAAAGAACATCTGAGTTAAGGATTTATTTTTATTTATTGCCTTTTTTGGGCTTAAACTCAACGGCAAATCAAAGCATTCTTTTTGCATGCACTCGTAGAAGAAATCTGCTTTAAATAAATGCGATTACAGTTTTTCCTCAACACAAATAAATCACAGATTTTTTAATCTGATTTCTTTAAGCATTTCATAAGAAATTCTTGTAACGCATTTTAAGATAAAATTCAAATGAGACATACAAAATATCTGAAAAATGAAATCATATTTTATCAAATCGATTCTTACAAGTTACACTCAATATTTTATTTCTTACCTTTACGCGCAAAACTCTAGAAATGCTGTTTTGTAAAATCTTTTAAAACTGTTTTCTTTTAATTTTTAATCATTATGCTTTCATTACGTTTAATATCATTGTTACTCTCTGTTTCGTATTTTGTCTTTATTTAACTATCATCGTTATTTAGTTAAAGTAGTTTTCAGCGTTGGATTTCTGAATTTGCAAGTGCTTCTTTTAAGCGGATACCCTTCTTTAGGAGAAACATTTCTCTGTCTCAAAGGAGCCCCCTTTATCAAAGTTTTCCTGAATTAAAATTCTGTTCAAGATTAAAATATGTCATGCATAAACCAGTTGTTTCAGTTTGATTATTAAGAAACTGATGGAATACATGGAATAAGGATTTTGATGTGTTTATTATTAACATGGATCATTGAAGATACCTTTTAGTAACACAAAACATTTAATAAAACTAAAACGAATACAAAAGTTTAAAAGTAAACATCATGAACACGACATTTCTATGCGAGTGCAATCTAGGCATTCCTCTACCAATCTAAAAAGAAACTGAACAGTTTTCGTTCGTTTTACCCTAATCGGTGGGGAGTCTAATCGTTTTCCATGTCACAAGTTTGATTTTTCTCTTTTTATAGCTCCGATTTAAGGTTACTGTAAATTTAAATGTGGTAGTGTTGGAAATAAAAAAAATTGTTACCAGCCACTGGAAACCCTGTAAAATTGGTCGCAGGGTCCGGGTACACTGTACAGGTAGTTAAAATTATTTATTGGGCCCAGGAAATAGTCAGGTAACTCGGGTATTCTTGTAAAACCCGAGAGAGTATCCCATAATATACCCCTAATCAAAATGTAAAGAAAATGTCCTACAATATGTAAAGATTAAAATTCTTCCTTTTTTTTTAAAAAAAAGCATTGCATTAGGGTAAATTAATTGAATTTTTAAACGCATTTATGAGTTCATAGTGATGTTAATAAAAATAAATCATTCTTTCAAGCTAAATATTTCTACTCAAAACTCGCATTTTCTACCTCTATTTAAAGTTCGTATCATTGAAGGATATAAGACTCAAGATGAATAAGAATAAATAATTTGAAAAAAAATAAGAAAAAATGTAACTTTTCTCTTGTTTTTCACGAAAAAGAAAGGAATAAAATATTGAATCTTACTCATAAGAACCGAGTTGAGGTGATAATCTTAGTTAATTTTCCAGGTATTTATTTATTTTATATAAAGTTATCCTAAAAATTGTCGCAAGAATTCCGTATAAAATTTTTAACGAAAGCAGATGAAAAGTCGGTGATTTATTTGATATTGTTATTGTTATTCGGCAAATTACCGACTTTCAGCTTTTCAAACCCTGTCAATAAACATCTCATTTGTTTTCTTTAAAAGTTTTGCAGAAATTCTTGCAAAAATTTTCAGCAAAAACTATATATAAAATGAACATAATGTAAGGAGAATTAACTCAGACTATATCAATTCAATTTTTAGAAATTAATCTCAATATTTTATTGCTCATATTTACCGTGCAAAGAAAGTTGTTGCTTTTAAACTTTTTGAAGTAATTCTAATTCATACTTTTTCATCTTAAGATTTTCGTCAAGCCTTTGAAAAATTGCGCCTTATTTTTTCCAATAATTTCTAACCTTTCTAAATTTGGTGCTGAGAGTGAAACTACATACGATTCAGATTATTAACTAAAATATTTATTAAGATACGTTTCAGAACAGATGATAAAAGATGATATCCTAACAACTAATAGTTTCCTGACATTAGGTGGAAATTTTAATTGAGTATAGGTCGAAATCAGGTAAGGTGGTTTCGAACATTTCCGTTACAAATAATAAGCGTGAAATATTTCGATTAAAAAAAAACTATTTATTGCCCTTACAGATGACCTTATGTTATTTGATTAAGAATAGCACATTTTTAGAAGTTCATCTCATGAAAATAAAGATTAAATGTAATTTGTATCATTTTGCATGACGCTGTAGCTCGAGGCCACGTCATAATAGTCACAATTTACCACAATAAAGCAGTTTTCTACGGTACATATGCCTTTCGATGGACCTTCAAAAACCTATTACAACAGTGCAGTATTACGTATATTGGTATATTTGTAACCTATTAAAATCCCAAATAAGTATAATGATACCAAAAGTAGTAATTACTAAAATAAAAAATTGGTAACGTCAGTAATGTATGGCGATTTATTTACCTTTCCCCTTAACGAAAATCTTTTTTTATTGATTTTGCTTTTTAATACACAACTTATTTTTCTTTTATTTCAATTACTGTTGGGTTTAAATTATTTATCGCTATGGAAACACTTTTTAAAAACACAAGTATAAGCTTTAGAAATATTTATTCAGTGACATAGCACTGATTCGCATTGATTACTGAACTTGTAAAAAATAAATAAACAATAAAGAATATGCAATAAAATCTTTAACAGAACTATCTACAACTTTATTTACAGCAATGGATAATATTAAACCAATGCCACAAAAAAAGTCGAATTTTCAAGCGTTCCTTTCAAAGGGACTAATTAAAATGTTTATACTATTTTTATAACCGGGGGCTAAAATTGCTCCCTGATGTCGATGTCTTAATTCCAGAGTTTTAGCGCAAGTGGTTTAAGAGTTATATGAGATTCGAAAAAGCGTTCTGACACTGATACATTTTGAAAATGGGGATCGCCTTTAATTTTGGGGTCGGGGAGGTCTCTCTTTCGCGATGTGATGGGGGTGGGGGGGGTGGAATCTGATCCTAGTGAGAAGAATTTATAGTTTATACTTACAGGCGTATCCTAATACTGCGACAATGATCAAGAGCAATACTAAGTACTTCATTTTCTGCGAGTCTTCTGTAGATTTCTGATTGAAAAGAAATCTGATCATTCCTTCTTATCTATTTTGATGATAATGGAAGTTATTTTAAGAAGTCAATTTCAAAATTTCGAATTATCAGAGAGGCTATGATATATTTCGGAATCGTGACATTTATATTATGATTTTCAATTCTTTAATAATGAATGATTTCCTATTATATCTTACTATGTCAATGAAAAATTAATTTATCTTATCGAAATTGTTTACAGTACAAAATAGAATTCCAAACTGTTTTGAAAAGTTAACGTAGATTAAGCAGTCTTCGTGACTTCGAATTTTCATGTAATAAATTTGATATGAGAATAAACACATGAATCCTACGAAAGTTATCACGCAGAAGACCATCGTTGAAATTCTTCATTTTCTTTTGGAACTATGGTAAAACATGGCATTTGGAAAGTTTTAATGAATACTAACAGTGGCATGTAGAGGTGTGAGAATTCCTGGGGCAAATTCTTCGATTAGAAGTCCCTGATGAAAGGAATGAATAATAATGGAATCAGTAGTGGAGAAAATATCAATTTGATTACTGTGAAAACTGTATAGGTTGACCAAAACACAAACGTCTACGAAATATGGCGGATCATTAGTGAGGAAGGCAAGCTCAAAAGCAAAGTCAGTTTGATTGGATTCTGAAATTCTGAGATGTTTCTATTTATAAAAATATACAAATCTATTAGAATCTTTGCCAAGAATATTAGAGTACTAGTAAAAAATAACGCCCATAAAGGGTCCCAACTCGATATTCAAGCTAAGAAAAAATAGCAAAAAACTTACATCGAAGTTTTGACGAATCATGATGAATAAATACGTCCTTAAAAGCATCAAAATCTGTTTGATTAATTAAGAAAGCTAAGAGATGTATCTAATAGTTACCTTTTACCACTCCATACTTTCTATTTTATTCTGTTGAAAAAAAACAAATTTTATTTTGTTGAAAAAATCAACATCTAATTTAAGCATAATTTTTTTCTATATTTAGACATGTTTTTTCTACTACCTAAAACGAAGCACTAAGCCATGTCTTTCTAGGATGATATTTCTTGTATCATTATTATTTTATTCATTAATAAATTTAGGTTAGTTCTTTAAATTGATTTAAAATTTAAAATTGTGTCTGTAAATTTTCCGACTGGCCCACTTTCATGCTACTTATAATGAATGACTTTACTTAAATTCTAATCAAATTTAAGCCAATATATTTATATAATGCTGTTTTACAACGGGTTTCAATAACTGAGTAGCAACATCTTGTGACTCTGGATAACAAATTTTACCGTAATTCACAGCGTATTATCAATAGCGGATATAATCCGCAAATCCTGCTCTCAGCTCAGAAGGAGTAGAAATTTCAGAACAGTATTCCGCACCACCGTAAAATCTGCGGATTACATGTGAATTACAAAAATACATAAGCCCCTCTCACCGGCAGAATCTACGTCATATGTGAGCGAAACTACGTCATATGTGAGTCAAGAAGTATCGGTAGGGAAATGGGCGAATGCGATCATGTTCAAGGGTTATTCATACTAGATGCGAAAAAATCGAACCCAAAATTCTGAGACGAGAACTTCATTAGAGAGTTTTTCGTGAGGAAATATATTCTACCAATAAGGTTCTTGTTCGCCTCATCGAATTTGCGTGAGTGTGTTTTTGCTCATCTTGTGTGAATGATCACTTACACTTTTATGGCTGACGATAGGACATCCTATACGATAGGACATCCTAAGTCAATAGGACCCTAGCGATGTCTGCTGGGCGGGAAAATAATTTCTCTGGATTATCTGTTACACCATTTCGAAAGAATATCTCCGGATTATACTCAGGAACTAGAGACCTTGAGAAAAAAAAAAAAATACTGGTTCTTAAGAAATTACTTCGGTTATTTATTTTCGTCATCCGTATTAGTATAAAGGTGTATATTCGATACTCTGTATCCCCGGTCTTTGGATTGCATTTTCAGAATACTTGTTAAAAAAGAAGAGAACAATACACCCATTTGGAGTAACAAATATATATTTGATATTTAAAAGATATTATCTGACTGCGACAGACTAGAAAAACGTAATCGAATTCTAACGAATGTACTGACATTGAGAAAGTTGGAGATTAAAATAAATTGTAATTTTGTTGGATTACCGACTGAAATTTGAAGTTATTTATTAATAATCACTTTTCTCTTCGTCTCAGTTTGATGCGGCTAGCAAACAAGTTTCGAATCTAAGTATTTGATTCTGCCTATCTCAATAGTGATTCGTTAGAATTTGTTTACAATTTGTCCTTAAATTTTGACGAATAATTTACTGTACTAATGTATATTTCTGACTTCATTTTTATCAGGGATTTTAAAACTATATATTAAGAGTGGTAATTACAGAACATCCTGAATTATTCGTATTTGCAATTTGAGTTTTATCATCAAGCATTATGCAATTTGAGTTTTATCAATCACTGTTTGTTATTGGCAAATATACCTTGTCTACGAAGCAAAGTCTGTAATCAAGGTGGAATTAACGCAAAGTGTATCGGAAATGTGGTTATTATAGCTAAATAAATTACATGAAATATCCATTTTTATTTATTAGAATCGAAAATAATATACAAAATGCATACCTTTATTAATCGAGAGTATTTTGTAATTGAATATTTCACAAACTACAAAACCATTATGAGCCACATAAAGTATTCTATGGACATGGCATGACATCTCAGCAATAACAAGTTGGAGCACCCATTAAAAGAGCATTCTGGCAAAGGTGGGTCAGAAACTTCACCGCCTGAACTGAACTGAGCACCTGAAATGTATTCAGTAATAAAAGTGCATGATTTAAAAATGTAAACGCTAATATTTAAAATAAGGAATTTTTCTAAATTACTTAGGGTGCGTTCACAGGGAGCGATAGCATATATTTCCAAATGTATTCTACTGCATAAGCGCTCTCAGCTGAATTTTAGAAAGTCTATGAACCGCTTTTGTGAAGAGGGCCCCAATAAGCCAAGACCATAAAATCAGCTCTAACTGTAAACCTTGCACTCTTGCATCACCTGAATAATAAATAATTGAATTTTCACGAAATAAATTTGATGTCTTGGTGGTTCGAGGGCCCCAATATGGAGTTAAGAATCCCCTTAGGCAGATAATTTTACTTTGATGTTAATCTACTGATAAATTTAACTCCGAAATTTCCTTATTTATTCAGGAACTAATTAATATATTTTTTAAAAGATTTTGTTTCATTTTATTCCTTGAAATTTGTTTTATTGAACTTAGTTATTCGTTTTTAAATTTTAAGGGATGCTAGCAATTTTAAAACTTTTTAATTGTTTAAAGTTTTTCAAAGTTCACGTTACTAAATTTTATGTAAGGAAGGAAGAATTTTTTAGAATTTTTTGATAGTTAAAAATTCTTTAAGGTTGAAGTTTTAAAAATACTGACAACTATAAAGACTAAAATTCTATAACTAAGTTCAAAAGAACATAATTTAATACTAGATTGCCTAAGGAAATCATTTTGACTGCTTTTAATTTCAATTAGAAAAACATATATGACGCAAACTATAATGACGCAATTTCTTAGAATTTTGTGACTTTTTGTACAACATATAATTTTTTTTATTGTTAATATTTACTAATAACTTGTTAAATAACTGTAAATAATATAAAAAATGTTAAAAATTAATTTTAAACAAATTTATTTACGCATTCACAATCCTGTCATTTTGACTGCTTTTAGGCAATATAGGTATATACTAATTTTCCGTCTTTCTAGTGTTAAGGAATAAAATTAAAATTATTCTTAATTGATGAAAAGGAAAGTAAAATAATGTGCCTAAAAGGGACTCTTAATTCTTGATGTGGCCCATGAACCACCAAGATCTCCAAAGATGCCAACTGCATGGTATTCGACAAAATATTTTAAGAAACAGTAGAGACCTACAAACCAAAATTTGCAGATTTTCGATTTATTTTGCCCCCATTATACAAGGCTCAGCACGGCTTAACTGTCAGAAAGTGGTGAATCATGTAAGCCGTTGAATTATTAGATGTAGTATCTCTATATCTTATTAGATGTAGTATCACTGTCTGTAGCATCTCTAGTTCTCAAATTTATTTCGTGAAAGTCCCATCTGATTAAACAATCCAATTTATTTAATCAAAATACAATCTATTCATTTATATTCAAATAATAATTTTCCTCAGATCAACATAGTGGAATTAAAATCTTTTTTATGTCTGAAGAGTACCTTTATCTACTATACTCCGTTGCGACTTAAGATTTATATTACTAATTATACTATAGCACATTTCTAATAGGTTTAACGAATTACATGTCATTTATTTGAATTCAAATTTATTTTAATGACTTAGTATTTACTAATTAATAATTTATAATTAATTATTGCAATTTTTTAAAAAAAAAGGTTTTCATATGGATTTGAATGATAGTTTTGAATTCTTAGAATTTTGTGCATTTGCAATGTACCTAAGTTAGTAGCGAGCGAAGCAAACCATATAAAATTGCGTAGCAATTTTCGGGGGTTGGCGAGCGTTAGCGAGCAGGTGACGCAGCCCACTAGTTAGATATAATTTTTATTAATTGTTAAATGATTATTCAATAAGTTTTGTTTTCTTCATTTCACCTGATTGAAGAAAGCAAGCAAAAAGAAGCAACGTAGCTTCAAATGTTGGCGATGCTGATATTCTATCTCGCTGGGAGTTTGGCGTACACTTAAATGGGGACTCTCTCCATAGGGATAATGATTTTATCTTAACTTGGCAACAGAGTATATCCACTGAATCAGTTAAATCAGACTGTCATTAAAAATTTTATTTACACATTTACACTTTATATACACTTATTAATTTTATTTCAGCTCTGAAGTGCTGGACGGACTAAAATTTTTGCTCTCCACTATTTACACACAAAAAAAAAAAAAAAAAAAAAAAAAAAAAAAAAAAGAAATAAATCAATATTCAAAATGTTATCCGATGTAGTGCAAGAAACTTTTGGTAACTAAAACCATAAATGAATGTAGAAAAGGAAAAACCGAAATGCGATTATTGTTAAAAAAA